TACAGCCCTTTGCTTCCAGAAAGGATTGCAATGTTCTGTACAAACATAACATATAGTATTTATCATTGCCACACTCCTATGAGGTGGGTATTTTTAGCTGCTTTTACAAATCCAGAAAGTAGCACACAGAAGAGAATGTGCTAACTCAGGGACACCAGAATTCAAGGGGTAGAGGAGAGAAGAAAATTCCTCATCCTTGCACCTCAAGCCAGACCATTTGCTAGGCGCATTCCATGTCTTGTTTTAATTCTCACAATTCCATGAGATAGCTCCATTTATAAGTATAAAAGTCAAGATCCCGAATAGTTAAGAAACTTGCCTGAGGTTCCTGTGCCAGAACTGAGATTCACATCCAAGATTATCAGACACATAGGGAACCCCCGTCCCCACCATTCCTTAACTATTTTATAGCTAGAGTCAGATAGGCAACCCTTTCATGGTGGCCAGCATAAAAACAGTCTGATGCTTTTAATTGTCCACAAGTTTCAATATGATGTGACATAGCTCTGAAAAGCAACCATCTTTGCCACACCAGTTGGAGATGAATGTCCAAGGAAAGTGAATGTTGAATGTCCAAGATGAGAAGGAAGAGTTGTCCTGGCCCCGCTCCCCACCCCAAGCCACAACTGGGCTTGTTGGGGAATGGCAGGGCTGGAAAGTGCATTTTGAATGGACTTCCATGACCAAGCATTTCCAGAGATCAAGAAATTCAGAAGAAGATTTCCTTGGGAAACATTTGAAGGGCCTGGGATCTCCTGCTCTAAAGGGAGACATGGAAAATCCCACTCATTGTATCAGGATAACCCTGTGGACTAACTGGAGGCTGTCTGACCTGTAGATATTGAGACAGATTGTGTTGCTCCAGAGAGCAGAACCAAGCCACTTGCTCATACAGGAGTATGCGACGGATGCTTTGAAGAAATTCTGCAAATACCTTATACTCAAACTTCGCAAGGTACTTATATGATGTCTCTCTGTAAGGGACAGAAACAAGTACTCCATGGTGGTACAGTTAGGTGGGCTGGAAGATTGCCCATCCTCTAAGAGTCAGTTTAGACAGCCACTGGTATGCCCCTATGATTCTCATCCCCCACTATTTACACCCCCATCCACACTAACCCAGGGCTGTGTGACCACTGGAATTCAGGATTGGTGTATGACCTTCAGATCTAGACAGAGAAGCACTGCAGCTTCTTCCCTGCCTCCATGTCACTCAGTGTGGTGGAAGCCAACCGCCCTGTCATGGGAACACTTAAGTAGCTTCACTGGGAGGCCCCCATGGAGAATTACGGAAGCCACTGGCTTTCATTGGCACGACCTGCCAATCACATGGGTAAGCCACCTTAGACATGGTCCTTGAGCCCTCTACAAGCCTTCAGCTGACAGCAGCTACACTGACATCTGACTCTAAGCCATAACTGCCTGGCTGAGCATCTCTCAAATTCCTGACCCACAGAAACCATGGGAGATATTAAATGACTATGCTTGTTTCAAGTCATTAAGTTGTGGGGTGGTTTGTTACGCAGCCATAGTAACTGGAATACAGAGCCACGCCATCCTTGGAGGGCTGCCTCTGGTCCTGCCCTAGAGTTCATCCCTAGGTTCAGTCCTGTGCAAACCTGAACACAGACACAGAATGATAGAATCATAACCCCAAGATGACCTGGAGTGGTGAACTGAATTTATTAGGGTAATTTTAAACAGAGAAAAGATGAAGTCCCAGTCTTTGATTAGGAAAATCCCACTCATTGTATCAGGATAAGCCAGAGGAGACATTGGGTCATAGTAGAAGTGAAAAGAAGGTCTGAGTTGGTTGTAGGCTCAGAATGATCTTGATGAGGCTGTTAGAAAACCACGTGAATGTAGGCTGCAATCACAGAAGCATAGGACTCAAACAAAGGAGGCAAGTTCTCCCCTGGGTTGAGCACACCAATCGGAGGACTGTGCCCAGTTCTGAGTTACTCTTTGCATGGGACACAGGTGATTTAGGCCTGCTTAAAGAAGATTAATAGAGGTGGGTCTATTGATGGAGACAGATGAGAAAGAGTAGAAAGGAGTGAAGATGCCTCATCCAAAAGGAGAAGATGGTGAGGGTGAGGGCAAAAGAATCACTAACTTTAAATACTGGAATATCAGTCCCATGGCAGGAGGCCAAAGACCTGGGGACAGCGGGTAGAAATGGGCCTGATTTGTTCATTGCTGAATCCACAGTATGGGGAAGGAGTAGGTGCTTCCACAGCAACTGAGACCTGCCTAAATACTAGAACCATGTGAAAATAGGGCATGCCCTCGGAAGATCCAACCCCTGGTTATGTCCATGCAAAAGTGAACCTGGGGGAAAGCACTGGCATACTCTAGAAGGGCCATCTTCCAAATTCTCTAAGAGCCCTTCCCAGCTTTCCATTTCTCTTCTGTGCTTTGAAGATTGCCTGGGTAGAATCTGCTAAATAACATCACCACAGTACCTCTATTGCTTCAGCAGATACAAAATGCAGATTCTGAGTTAGCAGGTCTGGGTTGGCCTGACATTCTGCATTTCCAGCAAGCTCCCAGCCCACACACTGGTCTGTAGACAACACTTTGTAGCCGGAGGTTAGAACACACAGCAACAGCACATGGGATCAGGCAGCCTGGCAAGACACTAGGGAAATGGGAAGTGTTCTAATGGAGAAGGGACTGCCAGCAACATCAGACATACTACACCAGGACCAGGACTCCTGAATTGGACAGGAGAAGCATCATCATGCCACCAAGAGCTTTCTGACACTAATGTCCTTTGATTCTCAAAACACAGTCTTTAAAGTATCAAAATCCTTTACCATCACCCTGGGCTGATCCTTCAGGGGTAGGCAGTTTGGAGTCATGACAATATACACTTGAATGCCCTTCACTACTTTGGTGGCCTTGGAGTCTTGTTTCCCAGTGTGTAAGTGGGAATCATACCTACCAGTGAGGCTGCTGTACCACACAGCACCTGGCATGGAATAAGTGCCTAATATATTTCTTAGCCTCATTACAAAACTAGATAATCAATAAACATTTGGTCCCTTCATTACAAAGATGAATTACCTAATTAATATTTGTCCCTGACTAAAATTGTCCTTCATCCTCCCTAGAAGGATTAGGATGTGTGACATTTTACAGACAAGAATAGTCTTTTCCCACCCGAAGCATTAGGCAAACACTGGCATGAGAATTCATGCCCCTTCTAGTTGGAACTTGGTTTTTCTTGAAGGGTCATTTCATCAGGGCCAGTAATTTGTAAGATTTCCTCCCATTTGTCTGAGAGGGACGACAGCTGTGTGCTGTGCCTTTTCTTTTGCCCTTCTTCCCCCTCCCCCTTTCCCTTCATATGGGGATTGAACCTAAGCAGGTTCTACTGCTGAGCTACATCACCAACACCACCCCACCTTTGTTTTGTTTTGTTTTGTTTTGTTTTTTTGAGACAGGGTCACTAAAATTGCCCAGGCTGGCCTCAAACTTGCCATCCTCTTGCCTCTACCTCGCGTGAATCATTGAAATTACAGGTAGGCACCACCACACTCAGCTCCACTGTGCTTTAAGTGCTCTGTAATGTAGAGACCTGACCCAGATACTCAGGTGAAAAGGGGGGAATCAAGAACAGCCAACTAATGGAGCACCTTAGCCACAGCTCCAAGAGACAGGTGGGTGGAGTGTGCACAGCTGTCTGCCCAGGAACCTCACTTCTCTGAACAGACGAGAGAAAAGGGGGTTTACAGAGAACACTATGGGCCAGACAGTCCCAGCTCAAGCAGAGGTGGCCAGAAGGATACCCACACAATTCTGGGGAAAACTGAGGCACTATGTTCTTGGCAATCAAAGAAGAGCTTGATTTATCTCTTCTGTAATGTGCAGTCCACAAAGAATCCACTTTGTGCTTCAGTCCTTGCCCAATGAGGGGCATGAGGCTTTTGCCACTTTGACTGAGTCCATCAAATCTTAGTGGGAAGCATACCAGTTCCTCCATAAGGACCCTGAAGGCCACCAGCCAGTTTAGATCCCCCAAAAAAGTTACTGCAGCTTTAACCAGCAGCTCTTGTAGCACAGAGTTTGACCTTGGGTTTGAATTCAGACCCCCACCTTGAGTAGGTAACTCCACCACTTCCTAAACCTCAGTTTCACATCATCTGGGGGAGAGGGCTTGAGAGTTTTAATGTTTACTGGGCTCTTTAGAGAAATTAAGTAACATTAATGTAGGTAGATTCATAGAAGATACTCAAAACTGTTAGTCTTTTTATTCATTTTCCCAGAAACAAACAAACAAAAAAAAAAAAAACATGCTTTAGAGGTTCTGGAGTTAGAGCGATACAGATGAATTCTGCTTTTCATTTGAGATGTCCTTGGTTTCTCCTGGATTTAAAAGACTCATTCAGCGTTCTGCCCTGGTACACCTCCGTGCTGCTTCCTTACCGCCTGTCTCTGCGCCCCCTGCCATCCCTGTGTACCCCAGTCCCCAAACTTTCAGCCAGCTCCTCTGTGGAGGGTCTTTTAAATTGCAGCCCGAAAGCAGGGGACCGCTCCCTCCCTGCCCGGGTTTGGCTGGGGAAACCCAGCCGGCAGCTCTAGCGATCACACCCGGGCGCTCGGGGCTGCTCTGCGGGTGCAGCCTTTCGGGGCCCCTCCGACTGCGGAGCTGCCGACCGCAATGCAGACGCGGCCCTTCAGCCCTTCGCGCGCTGTCTCCCTTCCGCGGGCCTCCGAGATGCCGGGTCCACGCCGCCGCGGGCAGCGCTCCTCTCGCGCCCTGCGCGCCGAGCGGCTTCCCCAGTGGCGCGCCGGTCTGGAGCCGGGGTCCAGCGCGCTCCAGACGCCTCTGCTTTCTCCTCCCCTGGTGGCCGCCCCTCGGTCCCCCGGGGGGTGGGGCTTCCCTTTGCGCTCTCCCCCTCCCGCCCCTCACCCCTGGAGTGCCCTCCCCTCCCCCGCCCGCCCCTATGTATGTGTCACCGCGCGCCATGCCCGCCTGCCCGCCCGCCCACCTACCAACCCCGCGGTTCTAGAGGGGGCTCACAGAGCTGAGGACGCGCACCGCACCGCTCAAGGTCTCTCTCTCTCTCTCTCTCTCCGTACCCTCGCCTGCCGGCATCTGACGCGGGCTCCAAGGGACTCCGGGCACCTTTCTGAGTGTCCCTTCTCTGGTTCAGTCGGGACTCCGCAACCCCGCCGCTGCCGCTGCGGCCACCGCCCGAGGGGACCTGCGGACAGCACGCCAGCAGGAGGAGGGGTGCGCAAGCGCCCGTGCCGAGTGTCTCCTACGCTGCGCAGCGAGACCCAGGCCTCCTGGCCTCAGGAGTCCCCGGCTGCCTCTCCAGGTGTACGGGACTGAAGTTCTTTGAGGAGGGAGTCCAACTCTTCAAGGTAACTGTCCCTTTCCCTCCAGAGAAAGGTTCTCTCTGGGCGTCCCGAATCCATGCTGAGGTTGTGCGCCTCTGCGTTGGGGCTGCGCTGCCTCGGTCTCCCCTGTGTGTGTGTGTGTGTGTGTGTGTGTGTACCCGAGGCTCCCAGCATCACCAACTGCATCCTCAGTAGAGTTGAGCAAACTTTCTCACTCTTGCCCACTCAGAGTGAATGGGGCTAAAGAACACACGTGAGAAGGGGCTCCTGTCTCCGGGTGTCCAGAATTAAGTAAAGGAACAAGGGAGATTTTGCTGCCAATTCCCTGTTCGTTTTCAAGTTCTAGAATATGAGAGGATATATTGATGTGTAGTTGACAGAGAAGCAGCTTTAAAATCAAGAAGACATGAGTTCAAATCCCTGCTGTGCCTTTTTGGAGCTGTTGGAGGGGTGCATCTTCTGAGCCTTGGCCTGTGCTCTGTCAGCTGGGGAAGAGGAGGCCTCCTTGGTCCTAAAGCCAGGGAATCCACTAAATGATGTGGGCAGCTTGTCAGGTATACAGAGGTGCCAGAGCAGAGGCCGAGAGAACTCATCAGCTTCATTTCCTTAACCACTTAGCTTACTGCAGGGACCACAAGGCATCTGAGAAGTGAAGAAAAGGCTGGGAAGAGATTGGCAGAATCTGGAACAGGGCTACTGAGCTGCCTGCCCATAAGGGAGAGGAGAGCAGTGCTCTGAACATGCATCTGTCCACCAAGAAGGGGCATTTCTCAATGCAGAAAGAGGAGGGGACCAGGGACAGCTTTTTCATCTCTGGGATACTCTGCAAATAAAGTCAACAATAGTGGAGCAGGAGCCCTTTCCAATACTAGGGTTGGGTAGGAGGTTATCAATTATGTTAACTGAACCCACATTCTAGGCCAGTACAAGCTGGAGAGGTGGAGGGTTATCTCTGGGTGGGAGATAGGATTCAACCCCAACTTTTCCATCATTATCTCTGCAATCAGGAGCTGGCTTCTGACAGGAGGGATTCCACTAGGGTTTCACCATCAAGCAGCTCAGATCCCTGTATTTTGATTGATGTGTAAATTCCAGTTCTGTGGGGGTGGCTGCCAGGAGGAAAAGAGGGAAACACAAAGCTGAATTGGGTTAATGTGCTGTTTCTGGTCCTGAGTGTCGCAGTGGGAAGGTGTCTGACAGTTTGGGAGAACTCTTGGCCTTGAAAACACACCCACCTCATCTCATGATAAGGGAAAGGGAACCCAGAAAGGTGCAATGACTTTCCAAAGGTCACACTGTGTCATAGGGGAAGAGACAGGACCATAGTCTAAGTTTTCTGAGGCCATAGCCAGTCACTCCTTCTGATTTGAGAGTCTAAAAGTCTGAATGCTAATCCTTATTTCTCTTTCTTGCCTTCTGGGTGCCCATGAATAAGGAGCAGTTAGGTTGCCCCATGTGCCCTAGGCAAGGCAGTTCAGCTGGCACTGTGAAGACAGATGCGGAGTGTTGACCTGTCTATCACTGAACCCAGGAAGTAACAACCCAGAATCTTCAGGGCAATGGGGAAGCAATGGCCAAGGCTTGATAGGGGCAGGAGCAAAGGGTGGGGCAGGGGGGTATTTCTAACCTATAAGAAAAAAAAATATAGAACACAAGATCTCCCTAGTTTAAAAAGTTTTAGATGAAGGAATGGCCCAAAGGAAGAAGATATCTTTCACAGATGCTGGAATTCCTCACATTATGTTTAATTTAGGAAGGTTTGTGTGTGGTTTCTAGTGCCAGGAGGTTATGTTCATTCATTCCCTAATGTCTTCTGAGTGCCACCCAGAAGCCAGACTCTGTGCTCAATGCTGGCTCACAGTAGATACTGAGTAAATAGTAGCTGAGATGACTCAAGCAAAGGGCTTAGCAAAGTGCCCACCACAAGACAAGCACTCAGTAGCCACTCAATGTTATTATTAATTTTAGTATTAAGTAATTTGTCTTTCCCTAAATTTTTCTATGGAAAATCTTAATTAATTATACTCGCATTAGGATTCTTACTGTTTGGAAGCCCCACTTACCCTCAGGCACACATCCTGTCCATGCACATGTTCCCATCCCAGGCAATCCCCACCCTTGCATGCCACAGTGGTGTGTTCTCCATCCTCATGTGCCCATTCCCCAGCTAAAGGGAAGCTTCAAGATAGAGCTCCCCTTCTAAGAAGGTGGGGAAGAGCCATGTGTGTGGCATGCAAGACAGACCTGGGTTCAAATCCCAGCACAGCCACTTACCAGCTACATGACTTTGGTGAAGTTCCCGAGTCTCCCTGAGGCTCAGTTTCCTTTTTTCTCAAAAGGGGGAAAATACCTCCAGAAGTGGATATTTGTGAAGATTAAAAGACATACTGTGGGTGCCTTGTCCATGCCTCAGTAGACACCATACTCCCAATTCCTCCTCTCTGCCAGCTCCTTGGCTCCCTTGAGGTTACAAGCCGTAAAGTCAGGATGGTTACCAAGTTCTGCCTATTCTGTGTTAGTCAGAGAATGCATGTCCCAACTTTTAGTATGGGTTCATTTTAAATGATGCCTTCTAGAAAAAGATCCCCCAAGACCCTTCTGTTCAGGCACTAGGGGACCTCAGCTGAGCCAGGGGAGACCCACAGGAGTCTGCTTAGAGTCTCACTTTTAGTCTGTCTGTAGGAACAGCTAGCACAGGATTAGTCCAACTGTAGACTGTGACACCAATTTAGTGGGGGCTTTAATGAAATAAGAAAGAAAAATTTTATAGTGCCTCCTATGTAGTTAAGGGTAAGTATTGTTTCCAAAAAGTTTTATTTCTGTTAAATGTTCTTCAGTTCTCTATGAGGGTACAAATATTCACCATGTATGTGTATATGTGCAAATATATCCAAATGTGATGTTTGCGTAATGTGTTTATTACTCCGAGTTGTGATGGAAAAAGTTTGAAAGACATCAGTGGCAATGATGTTTCTGTCTCTGAGAAATCCCTGCCTCGTGCTCCTGGTGGCAGGCACTGGGGTGTCCCTGCTGCAGCTATACCAGTGCCCAACCTGACTCCTAGGTGTCTGGGAATGAAGGCAGCTAGAGGAGGAGGCAGGTTGAGGGTGTTAGACAAGCTCAAGAAAGAAGACTCAGAGTCAGAAAGGAAGCAGGGTGTGGGGGACAGCCCTGCTTACCGACAGAACAGGGGAGGGGACAGAGCAATGGCTGTCCTGAGGATGTTACCTGAAAGAGGAAACAATTGTTGGAGACAGTAGTGTTACTCTCCTGCTGTCCCAAACCCATGCTCTAGGTCCAGATGGAAGCCGCATTGCTGCCTCCTTCCACAAGAAAGCCCTGTTCCTTGGGGCATAGGGAGCTGTCTCAATGGCATCTCCTTTGGGGGTGGCTGCTCCCTTCCCCCAGATCCCAACAAGATACCCCATCCTTGTGAAGGGGTATGGACCCCTGGACAGGTTAAAAAGATGTCTGCAGAGGAGGGATTCTGGAGGAGGCAGCTTAGGGCTGGAGAGGGAAAGGAGGAGCTGGAGTATAGGCAGGAGGAGGACCAGAGACAGGGGAATGTGTAAGGGAACCGGTAAAACGGTTCCTTTTTTCAAAAGTTGAATCCAGGGCAAGAACGGAAATGGTTGAGTTTACTTTTAAAAACTCAGAGCCTCCTTGTAAGCAGCTGTGTGTGTGTGTGTGTGTGTGTGTGTGTGTGTGAGGGTGGGCCCTGCGGGCTGGCTGGGGTGTGTGAGAGGCAACTTCACTCCCTCTCAATAGCCTTACAGTGTATCCTAAAGAAGCTTTTTGTTAAACTCATGAATAGGTGGATTCGGGGTGTGTGATGCTGGGCATCACGATTTGGATATTTGGTTACCTTTGAGGTTACATGTTTTTCCTTTTAAGACATTCACCCAAAAAAAGGGGCTATGTCTCCTGAATAGGGTCAATATTGCAGGTAGGGGTTTGCCTGTCTCTATAATGGATTTGGCTTGAGGGGTGAGCATAAGAAAAAGAAAGACAGGAGTAGGCAGTTTTGCACTGTCTGGACTGGGGGCAGTCCCTCTTCAGCCCCCTGGTCTCTGGTTGTCCCCAGACCATGGATGCCCAGGGCCTTTGGGGCCTGTGATGATTCCCACTTAAGAGATCACAAAAGGAACCTGGGCTCCAGAGAGGGAAAGGACTATACCCCATGCCAAAGCAAATTGGTGAGGATCTGAACAGGACGAACCCAGACCTTCAGTCCCAGAATGTGCCAAATCCACAGAAACCAATCATCCATCCATCCATCCATCCATCCATCCATTCATTCATTCATTCTTCTCTCAGCAGTACTTGCTGTGTACCCAGCACTATGTTAGGTATGAATAACACAGCTGTGAATAAACCAGTCCTCTCTTCTTGCCCCCTGCCTCCTGGAAGTCTAACAGCAGGGAGAGGCTGTTATCAATTTGACCTTGACCCCTTATTTCTATAAAGCAGTGGTTTTTAATTGAGGGCACTTTTGCTCCCTGGGAACATTAGGCCATGATCTGGAGACATTTTTTGTTATCACCAAAGAAGAGGAGGATGCTATTACTTGCTATGGAGAAAAGCCAGGGATGCTGCTAAGCATCTTACAATGTTTTGTAATACAAAAAGTAAAGCTACATGCTCATGTGTATATATATATCACACATACACACACACAGCAGAGAACCATTCAGCCCAAAATGTTAGCAGTGTCAAGACCGAGAAACTACTCCAGAACTCCCTTCAGTCATTAGGCCAGGCCACGCCCTACTGTGTGCCTGAAGACTTGGGGTTGGAGAGCAAAAGGGCTGATTTGACAGGGAGACAGACAACAGGCGGAAAATGGGGAAAGAAGACAGGGCCACAGAGATAAAGTAGAAAAAAATTTGGCAGTCCAGATGTAGGCTGAAATCCTGGCTGTGTGCCCTTGGGTAATGCACTTATCTTCTCTGAGCCTGTTTCTGCATCTGTGAAATGGACTTGTAGGGAAATCATGGGGGTTCAAGATAAAGCAAATAGTGAAC